CAGGCACTGTCTGCTGGAGCAAGGTAGTAGAGTCCCCCACCTTCTTGAAGCAGAACTTGTTAGGAGAATGGAACATACAGCTCTAGTAAGAAGGTTGGGCTAGAAAAGGTGACAGCTTAGTTTCAGGTTCCCTAGTTTTAGGCTTCACTTCAGACTGCCAGTTCTTGTACCTTTCTGCTCCTGAACTCTGTATACATGATTGTTTTAAAAATAAAAAAGGCATTTGCGTAAGTTCTATAGCACACAAGAAGAGGAAAGGTAGACAGCTATAAAGTTATCTTCATATGACTAGAAAAATACAAAGGATGTAATTATACATGGGATTAGCATAAAAACTAACAATGGGGATGGCAGAACTCTAAACTATGACATTCCCAGTTATCCTGCCCTGTCCTCCTACATCCTCACTCCATCACATTTTCAGAAGCAAGTTGGTTTAGCTGAAGACATGCGCACTTTGATGTAAAGTAGAAAAAAAGTTATCCACACAGTCAGAAACTTCTCAAACCGTTTCCAACTTTACTTTCAAAGCGGGGGTGAAGTCTCCAGTCAAGAAATTCAGTATATACATGCAAAATCTACTCCACCTTCCTAATGAAAGGGCAATTCTCCGTCATGTAAAAAACCCAAACCAATTCTAAGAAAATAACCCATGATCAGGGTAAGCTAGTGGCAATGACTGGAAGTTTAATAGACTTGTGCTAGAATGTTGCTGATATAATGCTAATTGGATTTCAGTGCAGGTTTTGTTTCTGTTTTACACAATGGCTGCTCAGGTGACATTCCAAGACACTACAGTACATTGTCTGAATGCCTCTGTTAAAAATAGCATCTACTGTTGCTACTGTCCCTGAGTATTTTATACCTCTGCCCAGAAACTGTGATCAACTGCTGTAAGACTTTTGGTACCACTGTACAGTCAATACTAGCTGGGGAAAGTGCAACCATCTGTTTCGGTGTCTAGACTCCTTCCGCCTACCAAAAGATCTGATGGACAAGTTTCAACATTTACATTCAAAAGCCACTCTTCCAAAATCAGAGAACTCGCACATTTACCTTGCTTTTGACTTCTTCCTAACTCAGGTAAGAGGAGGGAAGAGACACATGGACATAGCCCAGATGAACACAGTACCTTGGTTAATGTAATTTTGCATCTGTTTTTTTTTATATTTAGTCCCAAGGTCCTGATATTTGATCAACATAACAAAATAAAGTCTTTCTGTCCTGAGCTCGTAGTGCTAGAATTAAAAAAAAAAATTCTGTGAAAGGCATGAAGTACAATACAGTGTAACATCACAAGGTATTTTTTGTTCTGAAGTGGATCAAAGATCTTGGTTCAGCCAGTACTAAATTCCCCCATTTTCTTGCCCCAGCCATAAAATGCACTGTAGGGCATTAACTTTTCCCAGGCTATTTACCTTTACTGAGATGTACTGTTTGTCATTTGGCATGGTTAACTATCATACAACGATAATGTCAAGGTCTCTGAAATTATTATGTGGCAGTGCAGACTTACTATCTTATCAGTAGCAATAAATATCTTACTAAAATTGAGGTGTTACACAATTGGTTTATTCTGACTATGCAACCTGAAGAGAGACCTACCTTATGAACTGGACAACACTACAACGAAAATTTCCTCCTCCCCTTATCACCTTCTTGAGAGGGCAAAATGGACCAAAATTTTCATCACGAAACCATTTTTGATACTCCTCAAAACTGCTCTGAATGTAAGCATATGTGAACATACGTAGGCCATTTAATACAAGACCTGAGCAGTGATTACGTTTTCATGTATGTGTATTCATGTACATTACAGTATGCCTCAACCTCAACTTTTAATCTGTACAATGACACGACAGACAAAGGTCTGTTCTTGTAATACCCTAAAAATTGGAAAAAAAAATAATCAAATACTTTCTGAAGACTTTTCTTTAAACATACGTAAAACTCATAATAATTTTAAAGCAGAAACACTGAAGACGGGCTTGGTCATTGACCAGGACTCTATTGTGCTGGAAATTTTAAAACTGAGGGGAAAACAAGCCATGCAAAATCAAACCTCCACATATCCCATACAGAACAAGAGAGAAAGAGCTTATGTCAAAATAAAGGAGGTTTCAACCATTCACCTATTTGTACCTTCTTCTAACAAAGAGCTATTGGTATGAAATGTCAACTCAAAACACTCTCCCCACTGGCAAAGCCATTAGGTTTCTTTTACTCTATGTAAACAAGAACTTGGAGGATGTCATCGCTAAAATCCATATTTACTAAACAACCTATGACATGTAACCCTTGTAGCAGTAATTTAGTTATCAGTTGGTCATGCCTCTTCCTTCTGCCTAAAACAAAATCACAGCTTAACATTAATAAAACCAGCGTCCCTTTAAGAAAGCACTGCAGGTTAAAAGAGGGTTTAAAAAAAAAAGACTGCGTAAATATTTCCAGGTCTTAGAAAATAATAAAGAATATAACTTACTTTTTGGAGCAAGAGGGAGGTGAATGATACCAGATAAGCAGAACAAACTTCTCAACAAAGCATTCACTTAAATGAAGCACTCAGGCTATAATAGCTCTACCAAAACTGTACAGAGCAGGTCTTACAATGCCTTCTTGTTTCACCTAGCCATTACCTTACCAATTGTTCGTTTTTCAAAACTCTTCAGTTAGTACTTGTGTTTTGACACACCATATTCTCATTAACAAAACCGTTTTTACAGCCACCAGGATTCAGTTCCCAATTTTGATTTGGCAGAAATATTGGAAGCTGAATACTTTCTCCTCAGTACTCTATCCTACTGCAAAGAAACCATCTGTCTACCTATCAATCCACTCCTAAATCCATCATCTTTCTTAGACTGCATTTCAAAAATCAGTTTATTTCTCACTAGTCCTTCCACGCTTCATGCACATTTCATGAATTAGAGAAAAAAAAAATTACAGGTTTCTGTGTGTCACCTCCAGATGATACGAAATAAAAGAGCCTACTGGCTGCCCTGACAGTGCAACAGAGAAAGTGTAAACACCAAATTCTACCTTCCATCAAAGTTAAGTATTCTGCTTTGCATTCACACACAATCCAGTTGTCCATGGACAACAGAGAAGCTTCCTAAAATCATTCCTGTTCTTCAGTGCTGAGACATCCAAACAATGTGAAGCTTAGTTCTTAACACCTGTGGTAAACTGATCAGGAAGGCAGTACTCCCACAATAATCCCAACTCACTGACAGTTCTGATGGCCTCCTACAGAACATCCTGCTTTCCCTAACAAAACGGCTAAAGCGGGACTGCAGTGCCACATAGAGGGTCTGTTTTGATTCCTTATCTTCATAAGAAGCTGGTTTGCTGTGTTTCATCCTCCTGTTTTAGAACATAGTGGAAGAAGCCCATGAAAAGCAGCAGCTGCTGCTGGAGCAGTTCTAATGATGGAGTGGCATGCACCAATGTCAAATACTGCTAAGGAATAAAGGCAGCACCAAGATTTTTGAAAAATCCAGACCTTATCATCTAACTGATACTTTTGTTTGGTACAAATGTGACATTTCTAGTTGTCACCTAATTTGTCTTTTCATTTGAGAAAGACTACTAAATTTTCATGCAAAAAGTGAAAAAAAACCACAACTGGACACTGTATCTGCTGTATGTAAGCATAACTCAAATGTTAGCACAAGGTCTTAGGAAACAAAGAGATAGCAAGTAAATATTTGTATACGAAGACCAACCATGCATAACATATACTCTAAGTTTATAAATAAAGTTTTGCCCTTAAAATTCCCATCTCTTGTGTCAGAATCCAAACTTTTTAAAAAAAGTTTAGCCAAAGGCCTTTCCAAATGAAAACTTGCAGCTTTGCACTCTAGCTTACACTCATTTTCAAACACCCAGGATGAAGTTTAATAATGCAAAACTTCCCCCATGTTTATCCTAACACCCAGCTGACAGCAACAATATGCAATTACTTCAGAGTCTGTAGCTTTCTCTGCTTTTATGAATGACTTTTAGCCTCTCTGATAAGAACAAAGAATGGCATTTAAATTTGGTACCAGACATCAGTGGCACGTCGGCACAACTATGCTTCTTCCTTGTCTATCAGTACCATGCTCACAGTGGAGGTTCAGGGCCCAGAGTAATTGAATTCTACTAATGAGAACCAACAGGCCTCCCCTTCTGCTCTTTTTAGAGGGCTACACAGTCCACGTATCTCAGGTAATGTGGTGAAAGAGCTGTGGTACAAAAAATGAATTTCAGTTAGTTGAAAAACAAGCAGTTTCAATTTGACCTAAACAATATCTTTTTTTCCAGCACAGCGAGGACAGTTTAAGCTGGTTCAGCCCAGAATTTCTTTCTTTTTGATGCAAAAGGAAACATTCCATCAGACGATGCAACTACAGACATCACTGCTTCAGGCTGCTGAGACACATAGTGGTAATTCCAGAAACAAGCTGTTACTTGTTTTTAAAAGGAGATTACATCTCCTTTCAATCTGGATTATTCCAGATTGCACTCGAATAAATATATTTTATTTACAGAGAGGTTTTCATTTTCCGTATAAGGCAGGCTGTGAAAGGAATATAACTAGACACCCACAGAAAGCTCAGAAGGCGGACATGCATTAAATAAAGAATGAACTGATTTAACTTCCTTCTACAGAAGAGGCAACATGATTTGGGAAAGACAGAGGACATCTTTCTTGCCCTTATACTGCAGTCAAACAAAGTACTAAGAATAGTTTTTATCTTAAATTTATATCTTGTTCAGATGAGGAACATACTTAAATTTGACCAAACTGCTCAGAGTCTTATTTAATCAAATGAATGACTGTACTAGGAGAAATACATATCTGGACACTAATCTTTTCTTGTACAGACATCAACAAAGTTACAAATAGCTAATGAAGTACACATAATCTTAACCAACAATGGCTATGTCTATAAAGATTTATCTGTATATTAGTATTAAATTTTATGTTGTATTCACAGACACGTTTTTTTTCGTACCTGCAAGTAAGGTTAGGGTCAGCATTCCTTGATAGAAGCAGTTCTACAGTCTTCAAGATCTTTTCCTCTGAAGCATGAGCAGTACATGCTGCCATCAGCACAGTGTACTTATCTGTTTTGAAACTTGCAGTTAGAGAATTACATATGTAAATGTAAATAACATGCTAATCCAGAAGTTCCCTTAAAAGCCTTTACATTTGCTAAAGTTGCTAACTGCATTCTGATACTCTAAGAAATTTAGGAAAGGGTAAGAAACTTGTTCTCCTTCCAATGAAAGTCATTAGAATTATCAGGCAACATAAAGGCATGTGACAAGATATGGTGCTCAGGAAGATGAGAGTGCATGGCAGTAGTAAAGCATCTTTTCCTACTGAAGTTCAGGATACTTCTTAGGTACCCAAAAAAACCTAGCAGGAGCATAACCATAGATGCTTATTCCTCAAATCTCGCTCCACACTTCACACCCTGTTCCTCCTCACCTCTTCCCAAATCTCAGTCAAGGGAAGAAACATCTTATGGGAAGTTAACTGCAATGGATAATAAAAGTGGATGTCAATGGATAAAAAAAGTGCACAAAATGTACTATCAGCATGTAGCAACATCAATTTTAAGGAGAACAGAGGCCCATACAAAGGACAGTTGAACTAACAAGGCTTTATTATACGGCTTAAGGAGAAGGAAGTAAGTTTACTAAACTAGATCACTAGTAGTACTAGCAGTACTACTGCAGTAGTGGCAGGAGGAGGATAAGAAATATCATTTTAGATGTGGATTTAAAGAACATCTACACAGTCCATAAAGATTCATCAGAATGCAGAAGCCAGCTGGGTGTTACATGCCACATTTACTCACAAATCAAAATTGTACATCACTGCTGTTTGCCCACAGAACTGGGGAGATCTCCTCCTTTCCCATGGTTCTCCTAGAGAGATGTGGGAAGCGTTGCACCTCAAGGACCTTAGCGAGTTAGTTGGCCCTTGAGTCAATTACAAGACTCTCATTTGAGTAACTGCCCATTTTGCTTATTGCACAAACTTGTGAACAAGTTCAAACATGCCTTTAACAATTTAACAAGTATAATTTTAGCTGTACCTACTTCAAACCATACCATGAAGTGTTACAGCATATTTTTGAACTTTCTTGTAGGAATTTTAAGACGTTTCTTCTTCAACTGAGGTCAAATTTTATTATGTTGAAACATGAGAAGTTTGTTATGTACTTTACCCGTCTGTGCTCTGTTTGCTTTATTTCTTACCACTTCTTGTCCCCCACTCCTTCCCACCAAAGATCTTAGTTTTGCATTTAAATAGTTTTTTTAATATCCCATCTTTTAATTTTCAATGAACTCATGTAGAAGTTCTAACACACATAAATCTGTATGTTAAATGAAAAATTAAGTTTCAGAGAGTCCCTTGAACTCCTGAACAGTAAGCAGTTAACACTGCAGTAAATTACTTGACACGCTGACAGATTATTACTCAAAATGTTTAACTTGGTTATCAATAACAACATCAATGGAAAGATGGCAGGACTTTGAACAAAGGTGGTGATAAGCACCATTAATCTGGGAATGATATTAAGGAGGAACCTGTAATTATATTTGTATGCAGTATTTCACATAGTGGTAGAGCGGGAGCTTAATTTCTGTTAGCCTACCTAACTCATACAAGCAAGAGAAGAAGGGAAAGAAACACCTTAGAAATCTCAGGTTTCTCTCTCGCAGAGAAAAGCTGGTAAGAGACTGCAAAAAGATTAGTTTACGTTCAGTCTACCTGAAACACCCATAGAGGCAGTGAATTTACTCCTCAAGGAGGCTGCATTCTGATCCCATCATATAGTGAATGCTACATCAGTTCCTTGTTCTTCATGACTATCAAAAAGCGTAAAATTAAGTAACCACTTAAAAAGAATGCCTGAAGTGTAACAAAGGTGATTAACAGTATAGCTGCTATTAGGATTATAAGCATTAAACGATAATTAGTATAGGATCACTTCTGTGATTGCCTGCTGATGTAAAAAAAGCAGCAGGACTGGTGACATTTAGTAACGTCTTAGGATGGCATAGCTGTACTGAACACATGTGGCCTGACCTGAATCAATGACTTGCAAGACTGTTCCTGGCTGGACAGTACTCATCCTAGCAAGGTGCCACTTAGGGCAAACACAGTTAGTCACAAACTGAAAAAATACCATGCACGTTGGTTAACTGGTCAGCTGAAACAGCTGCCCATGCAGTTTCTGCCCCATTTATAGCTCTCTAGGGCCATAAACAAGGAGCAGGTAGGAGTTGTAGGCAGTCAGATGGAAGATCTGTGAAGTTGGCTATAAGGACAATAATTTGAAGGCGTGATTGCTTTTGGTGGAGGCAATCTACTCTAATCTCTTACACTGATCAGCTGCTAAGAAGTTCAAGCAAATTTTCAGAGCCAGATATTTACCATCTACATTTCAATCTACTACTAATACAAATATCAGCAAGTTACTGGAAAATAAGATCACTGCTTTTAGGTACTTGGCAGTACTGTGTGTAGCATCAGCTTCTTCTATACTGCAATGTCTTTTATTGAACTTGGATAGATCTTCTAACACAATGAAAGAGAAGGAAAGTAACTACAGTTTAAGTAGGAAAAAGTTATTAAGCCATAAAAATAGACAGAGGAAATGATGTTACTTAGAAGCTCCACTGAATGCCTGCAGAAAAAGGTGATCTAGCAATGCACTGAAGAACAGTTTTCACTTAATAGAAAAACCGTGCACTAGTTTTAGAGAAGTCCACATTAGTTTCTAACAAACTGGAAAGCTATTCCTGTTGTTTGGGATTTTAGCTGGTTTCTGCATGTAAATACTTCATAACAGGATCAAAGGAAGTTTTAACTTTACAACTTTATCCTAGAATTCTCGTACAAGTATTTCCAAATACTCTTTTTAAAAAAGTACGTGAGGATTTGGAGGTGGAGGGGAAAGACAAAATGAGAGAGAAAGAATAAGAAAACCCATCAACTGAATCCAGATCAGTTCCAAGAACACATTTTTTACTTTAAAACTACTGCTTTTACTTCAAAACTGTGAAAGCTAGACTAGGTCCCAGTTCCATCATGAACTTTGATTTTTTTTCTCTATACATGCAAAAAGAGAATAAGGATGGGACAATGTCTGGTACTGAGCATTACTGGCCAGTATTTTTCATTCACATCTTACCTATTTCAAAACATGCATTAGCCCCTCTGTCCAGAAGAATACGCACTACTGCAAAATCAGCCACACTGGCAGCACACATCAGGGGAGTCCATCCAAACTGAAAGCTAGATTCTATGCTTATACCTGTCAAAATTTAAGACACTAAAATCATAAAACTGCACCACAATCACAAGCATGTTATAAACCTTACTTTTGATATGTATGGTTATAAATGTTACACACTGTTTGCGTTTAGTCCTGAGAAGTCTCTTGTACCATTTTCATTTTTTTAATACACCTTTATCTAGAATACCAGAAAACAACTTTTAGAACGGACACCAAGGAAGCTCAGTTCTCAGTCCATGACGTTACGCACCACTGTAAGACTACTTTTAAAAAAGTAATAAATTTAGTACAAAAATAGTATGAGAGAAGTGCACAGAATCTGTTTTCTCCACTTAGGTGCAATAGCTTTCCTCAATCACAATGAAAAAGCCAAGTGGACTGCTGTGGAAGCAACTCGCTTGTCAGGCTATTAAGATCATATTGACTAGGGTTTTCCTACTTCACAGCTCCTTTTATTCTCTGTCTTGCAAGACAGTTACCTAGCAGACACCAGTTTCGCATTCAGTACTAACAAAACATTAGCTCAATAGAAAGAAGAAATAGAAGATCATGCAAGATTCAATCACAGTCACCAGATTTGTTTGTTACTCTTTATGATAGCCACATCTTCCTCTGTGGCTAGAAGTAAGCTTGCCAGACAGCGCTCCCAAATTCACCAAGAACCAAGCACCAGACCAAGATACTCATCTGACAACTTTCAAACAAAAATCTCTATACATTTTTGCAGTAAGAGGAAATATCTTTCCTTCAATCCTTCCTCAAATATTACTTCCTCTATAACTGTTTCATAACAGCTGGTTCCATATTAGTCCAACAGCGATTATGGATAATCAAAAATACTTCTTCACAAGAGACAGCTCTGAAAAAAACCAAAACTGTCCCAAGAAATTTGTGACTGTTGAGCTACATGCATACCTTTTCATGCAAAATGTGTATTTACTTTCCCTGTCTTGGAAGTTTGTCAAAGATTTCCTCAGTGTAGCAACATAAAGTCATTAAAGCTGAGGGAGTAACAGGTCATTGCTCGGGGATTGAGTCTTCTACTGTTTAAGATCACTGGAGTTGTAGCAGCAATCAGTAAAAAGGTAATGTTCAATGAAAACCAGGTGTTGAAGCACTTTTATCACCTCTAACACCTGCAAGCCAAAATTTATAATCAAATCTTCTTAGTAAGGTACACATACTAGCTGCAAGCCTTAATGTCACAGTACACCAGTTGGTCTCCAGTATACAAAACATTTAACTGAAGCCCACAGTCAAGTTTTACACAGGGAGCCAGCAAGCAACCCTTAGCAGTCATATCTGAACTTCCTTGTAGATGAGTCACTTCAAGAATTTAGAAAGTCTGATATCCAACAGCCCACTGAAGTAACATTAATAGGAAAGGAATACCAGAGAGTCAGCACTGTCAGCCTTAAGAAGTCTATTTTCCTCTTGAGAAGGAAAGCAGTCCATGCAACTAGAGCTCCCACCTAGAGCTTTTTATTTTAATACATATCTGAACAATACTGACAAAAGATCTACCTGGCAGGCACCTAGAGACTCTTGAGCAGGTATCTTCCTTGCTGCTTTCTTTATGCATATAGCAGACAGCATCTGCCACGATGCTGGTCTTCCTCCAAGTCCTAGAAGTAGAATGGCCTTTTTGGCAATGAAATGCCAAAGCTGTGTTACAGCTTGTTTGTCCTGCATGGTCTCCTGCCATCTTTGTAGTGAATGCTTTGAAGCACCCCACAGTGTGATAGTCACAATGCAAACCAGCTCAGAGGAAGCCAAAGAAGGCACAACTGAAACAGTAACAGTCATGTTGCTTCTTGACTGCATGGTTATAGCAGTTGTTGACTGAACCAGAAGTGTCTCCCATTGGTTACTACTCAGACTTTCTCAGTACATGAGTTGTTCTTGAAGTCAGCAGGATTAGTTTAGGATCTAAAATGGCCCTTAGGAAGTCCTATAAGGCAACAGTGAAGACTAGAAAAAAAATTTTAGTGAAAAATCAGGCCAGATCCAACATCCAGAGAGAGGCAAGGCTGTTGCAACTCCACGACCCCAGGTCCAATCGGTATCTATGCTAAGCCTATGGTCCCAGCAGGCACACACATACACCACCGCCACATCGATCAACACAGACAGCACCAGCAGTCTAATCCTGCTTCCCTTTGGGACAGATGTATCTCCTCCAGCTGCTGGCATCACAGACACACAGGTCTCTGACCCCTGGAACCACTCCTGTGGCTGGCACGCCCTTTCACTCACTCCTGTCTCTACAGTCGCTGGCACCCAGACACAAGGGCCCTCTGACAGCCCTGGGAGTCCCTTCCTCTGAGTCCATAATTTGTGTTCTTGCCTGCCCTTGGGCCTCTGCTCCTCTGCGCTTGTGGAAGGGAGCCTGTGATGGGCTGATGGCTTCCATGATGGGCCTGGGAGGAGCTGGGCCAGGGTATTATTTGGGCTCCCCCAGCTGCCATTGCCCCTCTGTGTTCTTTTGTGGGCATGAGCAGAGGAGCTCTTCAGTCATGTAACCTCACAAATTACGTCTAGGGGGCAAAGCAGATACAACACTCTT